CATTTTTTTTTTTTTGGGGGGGGGGGCAAAGGTATATACCGTTCCAGCGGGAGGAATTTATTGGATCGATAGTGTAGTAAATGCAATTTAGAAACATTGGTCTTTCAATCGGCAGCCTGCATAAAACATTATAATCAGCTAGCGCAAGGAGAGCCCGCACTGGAGGTAAAGCAATAGCCATGAGAAACGCCTAACTGAACACGTAATAATACAGTCTATACTACAGTACCGAATTATGGATACCAAGCATAAGTGGAGTATTTTAAGTGATCTTTGCTATGCAAACAGGTCTACAGGATGATTTTCTAAGAAATCACTCGTTCAGAATCCTAAATGGATCTGTTTACACCTTTACCTGCTAACATGTATGCCGATATTCCCAACTGTCACGTCTCTCACTTCCTACAGAGATCAGTTCTAATCCAGTGGAATTCCGGATGTTATATAATAATGAATTTGTCAGCTTACATTTTTCAATAAAGCAGTGGAGAATAAAATGTATTTGGATGGAGTGCGATGCACAAAACCAACTGAGATACACGACAACAAAATACGGGTGTTTATTGTTAGCCGGATATCATTGATATTGCATGGTAAGAGGGCAACCGGAAACCTCGTCCATTTCATTTGTATCAAGCTTCCAGTCAATTGATCGAGCGCCATCTGAGGGGAACGGCGCATTTTCGTCCAGTTGAGCAATTGGTTTACCAGCCACAAAAGACAGCGGGGCTGGACAGAAATAGTACTTGGATAATAGTTGAACAACATCTTATCTAATACTCGATTCTAACTTGAATCCCCGATCACAGTCCAATCAGGTGGAAGCTGAATTTTCTTTCATTCTTATATGGTAATAAAATATTCATCCATCCGAGGTCGCATTGGACATTCTCCTTTGTACCCAAAACGTGTGTGATTCTTGAACCACAGGGTCTGGTAGAGTTCACTGAATAAGTCGTCAATGTTTGCAGACGATGCAAAAATATGGAAACCGGGGACAAAATCAGAGGACTTTCTAGCACTTCAGAGAACACTTAATACTGTCTATCAATGGTCGATCGAAAACGACATGGAATTTAGTGCATCAAAACGTACGGTCCCATCCCTTCGCCACAAAACTCGGTTCCCGTATTTCCTGGGACATCAGTAACTTTCGTATGTCTCGAACGAGAAGAATCTCGATGTCGTTGTCCAAGACGATCTAAGTTGTTCTTTAAACTGCTCCCGGGCGTCGTCCACCGCTGTATTTGGAAAATTTGAACCTACGCTGTTTCCACGGTTGTTATCAGCATACATTCGGCCCCACATGGAGTATGCGATTCAAGCGTGGAATCCATGGCTGCAACGCGATCGGAAGATTCTGGAACGTCCACAAAGAATGGCCACCAAAATAGTCAAAGGACTGCATTATAAGACTTACGTGGAAAGACTGGAATCACTGCAACTGTACTACACACAGTATCGCCGCATTCGAGGAGACTTGATCTTGGTGTGTCGAATAATGCAGGACCCAGATCACCCACGTCGTTCATTCTTTGCCTTGTCGCCCAACACTCACCTAAGGGGGTACCCATTCAAATGTGTGCTCCAAAAATGCCGGCGTCGTACATTCGCCCTCAGAGTGTGTACTACTTGGAATTCTCTACCATCACACGTTGTTTCTCCGCCCATAATTGATTCCTTCAAGCACAAACGATGAAGCTTTGATAAGGCTTAAATTTCAACATCCGTAGCTGTGTGCGAAATAAGGATAAATTGTGAAATTCGTCTACTTTCTGTGAACCGTGAATCGATTCATCTGTGCTAAACCCTATGGGACTAAAAAAAGCAACCGCTTGTAAGTGTTTCCCATAATAAAACTCTGACTCTGTTAAAATCTGTGTACAGATATGCCTAGCTAAACTGACAAGACAGGATGATCACAACAGAATGAAACTAAGAGCGAGAGAGCGATGGATTCAATAATGAGTAAAAATGGCGCACAGTAAACCGACGAGCAACATCGGCCAGTCAGAGACAAATGAGCGTGGGTCCCTGGTTTGCAGTAGTTCCTCAGTGTGGTATTAACACGCACAAAACTGAGTGAACAGTGCATGAAACCGATCGATCTAACTGGAGAAAGCATTGGACGCTTAGAAGCACTTTTGAGAGGAAACGCGAGACAGACTAAACAAATTCAGCTGAAAACTGTATTGTGATTATCCAGAATTGTGAAATCGCGCGAGATATAGCATACGGAGAAAAAAGGAACCCGAAACGAGAACGCACAATTGAAAGAGTGGAATTTCAAGGAAGATACAACGTACAGTAAAAAAAAACGAAACAAAATACTGGAACGCATGTTCCTTATTCTTTTTTTGAGAGAACAGCACAAGTTTAACAAATCAAAAGGCTACCGAAAAGTGAGAAAAACAAATTGGAACAGGCATATACAGTAGGAAGAACAACAAAAGTCAAACGGATTGTTTGGCTTCTCAGGAATGCAGTATGTTGGTTTATCAATCACAGTCAGCAAATGTTCGGACACTACGTTAAGGGAAACGCGGGAAAATCAATCTGTGTTCTCATCTTTTCGTCCAAATCGATAGGCCTTTTCTTGTTCCGAGATCCGATGTTCCTCGTTGGCTTTGGCTTCATTGGCCTGTGGGTAGCAACAGACGAATGATCGACAGTGAGTAAACATGACCATACTGCATAATTGAGTATGACAAAAGCTCGTTGATCCCGACGACCGTCAGGTTCGGTAGAACAACTGTAACACAATTTTTTATGACTTCTGCAAGCGAAAAAACCGGCTGCTGTCCAACTTTGTAACCAGGATATAGATACGACACAATTGTAGAACAAGTCGGCAATGGAACAGTCCAATGTCGCATATACATACGCTATCTTGCTAATACCTTGTATTCCGTCGATAGTAACGAAGACTTTTACGCTTTTTCCCATCAAGCTTCAGCTTGACAACCGCGTATTGTAGCCGTCAATAACTATCCAGTTGCTTATATACGTTGGATACACTTGCGTGTAGCCGTAGAACTTAAAAATATTGCAGTTTACTGAAACTACAGAGATTCTAATTTTAGGATCTACATTATGTGATGATCAGCAAATGGGTGTCATATATTGACATTGATGAAAGTGCGTTTGTACCCCACGTTTTATGCTTCCCTTACCTCATAAGTGTCCCTTTGCCACTTCATCCCAACGAGTTTCAAAACTCGTCTAACCGATGTTCGGTAATTTTTTGCTGAAAACTTCATGTTAAGTACAGTCACACAACTATCTGTTTGTACCTGTTCGAGAATCGCTGTGTTTATCCCACAAATCAAAGTGAAAAGTAACAATCGGAACACAAGAAATACGTCGATCCACCATCATCATCGTACAGCGAAATACAGGGAAGCCAAGTCCACCGATTGCTGCGAAACTCGCAATGCATATGCATTGGGGTTTGATGGACGGGTGTCCAGCCGCTAAGTAGGAGAATGATTAGGGTTCTCAACCAAAGCCTTTAGTCCCGACAAGAACCTATGCACAAGGCAGCAGGTGAAGCGGAGTGGATGCCCATTTACTTGGATCAATTACTCCTCTACCATTTTTACCGACTGAAACGCAAATTCTAGTCGAACCTCGACCGACCTCTACCCTTCGACCTTCCAGGCATGATTAGTTCTCTAGCTTGAAAAAAGCCATCCTGTGTAGCTCGCTGAGTCAGCGAGGTGCACAAGCCATCACAAGACGTTAATGTGCAGTCGACCTATCGAGCCTTATCAATCCACAATAATCGTAAAAATTTAGCGGCTGTTCAGAAAATATTACAGCGCGTATTGGTATATTGACGTGATACAAAATAGGATTGGTGAACTCTATTACTCGGAGTGGAGAACCGCATAAGGCCCCAGTAGGAACAGAGCCGAGTGATCCCGAACCGATCTACTACCCAATGTGGGTAGCGTTGATATGATGTGTGTGTGTGGGGGGGGACTTTTCTCGATCCATTTGGGATGCAACTATTCAATTAATCCACTTGGTATGAAAAACCACTTTTCTGCTCGAGTTATCACTCGGACAAGGAGTGAAACAGCCTTACTTATAAAGTAAATCTTTCTTCTGAAAACACTTGCATTCAGGAACAAGTCAAAATTCTTTGACAAAATATTGAAAAATAAACAGGCACATCGAACTGGATCACGGGTACACGCCAATGCAATTGAAGGACCAAATGACGCGACAAAGGTCACGTCGTGACCTGAGAACGGACGGAAACCGCAATCAGGACGAAAGGACAACTTCCTC